TATGTATTCTTTTTTTAATTCAAGTAGCGGGGGGGCGGCGCCCCCCCCCCACTTCGGGCTTGGTTCCACATCATGCTGCACCACACACAAAACCCAAAATATGGCAGCTAAGAAGCGCGCATGAACAATTTTTTTTCTTCTAAACAATAGTCGAGAATATTATTCTTTTTTTGTAAAGCAGGGTAGGCGGGGGGCTTCTTGTTGCACTTGGATCCATATCTTGCTTCACCACCCACCAAACCCGCACGAGGCCGCTAAGAAGTGCGCATGAATGTTTTGATTTTCATATATACTAAGGAATATATGTATTTCTTTTTTAATTCAAGTGGGGGGGGGGGGGTTCCGCCCACTTCGGGTTTGGTTCCACATCACGCTGCACCACATGCAATACCTCGTGTGTGTGTGTGTGTATGTGTGTGTGCGTTTGTGTGTGTGTGTGTGTATGTGTGTGTGTGCCCCCGTGTGTCTGTGTGTTTGTGCGTGTCATATGAGTGTGTGTGTGTCTGTGTTTGTCTATCTCTGTGTTTGTGTGTATGTGTGTGTGTGTGCGTATGTGTGTGTGTGTGTGTATGTGTGCATGAAGGCAGCCCCTCGTGAACCAAGAAAGCGACCAAACGCGCTTCGCGCCTTGTGGGTTCGAGTCCCGCTAGCCGTACACTAGAAACGAAGAGTGGCCTCTCCATCAGTAATGTATGTGTGTGTGCGTGTGTGTGTATGCTGTCATATTCACTATACAGTCAAAAAAGTATGACTGTGCTAGACTGAAGGGGAGCGGGGCGCGATGTGTGTTTTTGTGCCTGTGATTGTGTGTGTGTGTGTGTGTGTGTGCGTGTGTGCGTGTCACGTGTTTGTGTGTGTGTGTGTGTCTGTCTGTGTCTGTGTCTGTATGTCTGTCTATCCTTGTGTCCGTATATGTGTGTGTGTGCCCCCATGTGTGTGTGTGTGTCTGTGTGTGTGTATGTGTATGTGTATCTGTGTATGTGTATCTGTAGGTGTGTCTATGTGTCTGTGTGCCCCCGTGTGTGTGTGTGTGTGTGTGTGTGTGTGTGTGTGTGTGTGTGTGTGTGT